GTACTGGTAAAGGATTTTACCTTTTCTGAAACAATATGTTTTATTGTAGCATTGAATCAGTAGAGATTGTGGGGATGGGTTATGTTAAACCACAACCCAATAAAGAACTTGGAAGTAATTAGGGTGTTTAATTTTATTTTTATATTGTTTATTTTCTTGCCACTTCCTTCAGAACTCTGGGATGGATCCCATTTTGCCCTGGAGTTGTTCCCACACTGGCAGTGGGTTTGCCTAGCACACTGTATCACACAGAACAGACAAGGCTCCTAGGATTTGTGTTTCTCTTGCTTTGCTAGATTTTCAGGAATGTTAATGAGGGTGAGAGAACCATAGATTTTATATGGCTATAAGTTCTTTTAGATTAAATACAATATTATTTTTTGTTAGCATTTGTCTTCAAACTTTTATGTTACTATTCTTTTATGTTTATTCTTATCAAATATCTTTTTGTAATTTTTTTCTGGTCCTGTTTTATACCTTAATCTTTTTCTGTCTCCGCCCTTTTTTTACTTTCTCCCTAATTCAGCTGTATCCAGTGCTTGACCTCACCATAACATCTTTTGTCTCAGTGTATGTAAACTGGTAATGAAATACTCAACCTCAGATCCTCCTTTAACATTTCATTCTTAGATCTCAAAAATCTAAGTGACAAATGAATCTTTATTTTCAGTTTTTTTCCTACTACGTACTTTTCCTTTCTCTGTAGTGAATTTTATCAAGCTAACATTTATACCTATTCCATAGTTTTATATTCCCTCTACCAATCCATCCCATCCCACCTTGGCTTATTTCTTAGTTTATATTGATCCAAGTAAGGATTCTTGTTTCTGCTTAAAAAGCGTATTTCTATTTAGCCTCATCCAGAAACGAAATAAAACATTGACTACACTCAGTTGCCTGAGCTAGCTAAAAATAAATATTCGTTTGCATGCAAGGATCCTAACTAAAGTTTAAAGGAAGTCTTTGATATGAACACTGGAGTAAAGTGAAATATGTATCATTGAAAACTTACCTTCTTCACTTAATAGAAGCCTTTTAAAGTTTGGGTTTCTTACATACATATGAGAGAATATACATCTTGTTAAAGAGTTTAGTCAGAATTATCTTTAAAAATTCCATAACTCAGCTGGGTGCGGTGACTCACGCCTGTAATCCCAGCACTTTCGGAGGCCGAGGCGGGCAGATCACCTGAGGTCAGGAGTTTGAAACCAGCCTGACCAACATGCCGAAACCCTGTCTCTACTAAATATACAAAAATTACTCAGGCATGGTGGCAGGCTCCTGTAATCTCAGCTACTTGGGAGGCTGAGGCAGGAGAATCGCTTGAACCCAGAAGATGGAGGTGAGCCAAGATCATGCCACTGCACTCCAGCCAGGGCAACAAAAGCAAGACTCTGTCTCAAAAAAAGAAAAAAAAAATTCCATAATTCAATTTTATTTTACTGACTTTAATTGCTTAAAATTTTTAAGAAAAAAATATGGTTTTGAATGACAATTTTTATTTCTTTTCTATCTTTCCAATTTTTTATAAAAGGAATAAAATAATTTCACTTTTAGTATCAACTGTAACAAAAGCAGGTGTTAAGGAAAACGTACATTTCTTTGAGAGGTTGATATCTAACATATCCTAGAATGCGAAACAAAAACATTTTTCATTATTTTTGCATCAAGAATAAAGCCTGGTTTGGACTAATGAAATATTAACCACTTTTTTTCTCCTTCTTAAATATCACTGCATATTCAACTGTCCCCTGAACATATATTTTTGATATAATACCCATCTATGAGAAGCTTAAATTGACTTACACTAAATCAAAATTCTCCCAATTCACATGAGAAATTTAAGGAAACATTTTACATCTTCCAACTGTTTCAGATGTGTTTATCTTAATGGATTTAGTTGAATGACTTACCCAGCGACATACTGGAAGTGTATATGAAAAGTATGATGTGTAAAACTCTTATTTCAGCATTCATTCCACAAGTTCAGCATTTCCAAACTAGTACTTGGAACAGTTTATGATGTTAAGTATTTTAAGTTTTAGTACCTCAAAATAAATTCATTTTTTGAATGATTTAATGCTTAAAATCTCCTAAAATATAATGTTCAAAATTCCCTTGCTTTCTTATTTGAAGTTATAACTTCGTCTTTCTGCAGTACAGAGCCCACTTGGATTATATTTGAGAATCTAAAGAAAAATACAAGTTATCCTTACTCTCTGAGATGCTCAGCAAACTGATTAATCTTTATTAAGATCATGCACTGAAAAAGTCTGAGTTTCTGGGAAAGCGTTGAAGTTGCCATTGATTATACTAATCCTAAATCCTTTGAAAAATGATTGTTTTCAGAAAGTTGTATCAGACTGCTATAATGGAAAATAGCATTAACATGTTATGCCCCATTCTAAATAAACCCAACTTCAAAATGTCTGTCAGAAAACTGTTTAGCTTTTTTTTTTTTCCCAAGTAACATTTTAAGAGGTCCCTTTCTGAAAATTTTTCTTGGGTACTGGGAACTCAGAATTTTCATTTGAAATATATTAACAGGTTTATTTGGCGTGAATGATAAAAGGTGCAGTGTATTGCCTAGTACAACCACTAATACTTTTTTCCAATAACAATAAAAACAAAAATAATAGTAAGCAGAGCTGTGTTTCTAACCCCAAAGAAGCTGAAGACCTTAGTTTAGATACTTCATAGGAATTCCTTAAGGAGTCCTCCTTCACCTCCTGCCAATACACCCAAGGAATCTTTTCTTGATAAATTCACCCACATTAGTTATCAAATCTAAACATCACAGAAGTTAGCATCAATTATTTACCAAGTGAGACAAAGGTTTGCCATTTTTTTCTTACCTTTTCCTTCAGTCCTCTTCATCCCCATTAGTTTTTAACACTTCTTTAATCTCAGAAGCAATCATTCCTAGTTTATGTCAAAGTCAGGACTTTGGAATTTAGAGCACTATCTTTACCACTTTCTGTAACTATCTCCAGTTTTAGCCTAAAACTGCAGAGCATTACTCTTTTTTTTTTTTTTTTTTTTTTTTTTTTTTTTGAGACAGAGTCTTGCTATGTCGCCCAGATTGGAGTGCAGTGGTACAATCTTGGCTCACTATAAGGAGGTCATTCTATTTAATCACTTATTTTATGGTTGGTTTGACCATATTAAATTGTCAAATACAAGTATTCTTTCTTCTTCTTCTTTTCTGAGACAGTCTCACTCTGTTGCCCAGGCTGGAGTGCAGTGACGCCATCTCAGCTCACTGCAAGCTCCGCCTCCCAGGTTCATGCCATTCTCCTGCCTCAGCCTCTTGAGTAGCTGGGGCTACAGGCACCTGCCACCACGCCTGGCTAATTTTGTGTATTTTTAGTAGAGACGGGGTTTCACCGTGTTAGACAGGATAGTCTCAATCTCGTGACCTCATGATCCACCCACCTCAGTCTCCCAAAGTGCTGGGATTACAGGCATGAGCCACCGTGCCAGGCCAAGTATTCTAATATACCTCTTCTCTGATTTTGTTGATATAGACTTAATGATAAAATATTTGAAAAGTTTGTTTCGTATTTGTGGTGTTCTGACTGGCTGGCTAGCTGTAAAATGTTGCCTTTCTTCCTAGTCCACACTAAAATCCATTGAGTGTTCTTATTGCACAAAACACCATAGAAAAACCTTGTCTACCACTTAAAAAAAAAAACTGTGAATGTGAAAATATCTTCTGATGTGACTGCATTATAAAGCTCAGTACAGCAGTTTTAATCCAGAAGAATATATTACCTGAATGTTTGTCAAACACATGATATGCAGCAACAAAATAATCTTTATTTTATTTTGGCCTGACAATATAATGTATAAAATCACAAATTGTTTGTATTGGCAAGATTTTATTTTACTAATTTTGAGATACTATAAAAATAATACTCTATATATATTTAAAGTATTTATTTAGAAAAAACTGGGAAATAAATTGAAGAAGATATTAATTTTAAGAAAAACAAACTGAAATCAAGTCTTTGTCTTAGAGAACAAATAAGACTGAAGAAATTGAAAGAAATATTTTGAAAAGCAAGAGTGAGGTACTTAAGTGATAAGACACAATGAAGTAAAGTCTTCCATTTATAATAGCTACAATGACCTTAATTAAATAAAATCTAAATGTCACTAAAGATAGATATCCACTGGTTTGGATTTGAAATTTAAGAACTATACAATTTTGGATGAATTGTAACTTATGATTCGGTATAAGGATTCTTCAGATCTCTGGACTTGTCAGTTTATAAGCTTTAGAAAGTACACAATACTTTCTAGGTATGGTGTAAAATTTTTTAAATATTTAAGCCATAGAATACATTATTACAACATGTTCTTTAATGTTGATTTTTAAATGTCAGAATAGATGTAATACCAGTGTAAGCCACAGGGTGGGAGTGAAAGGCAAGAACTTGTGTTGAAGCAGCTTAAATACATAATTGCACCATTTTATAAACCTTTTAAATGCTTGTTGAATTATAAGGGGCTGTAACTTGGTTTTCTTTCTTCCTTTAATACAGCTGCATTCTTCAGCAAAGAATCTATAACACAAGACAAACACATTAATTTAAATATATAGGCCATTTTTACTGAATATCAAAAGAAGTAAACACGTACATTTTATTTCCCCCTAAGTTTCTGGGCATATGAAGTGCTTGGTGAACAGAGCAGCAATTTTGATCAATAGTTGAATTTGAGAAATTTCTTAAATTACCAGTACTGGAAATAGTAATTGAAGTTGCCAGAAATATTTCATCTCTTCAGACTTTCCTTCTTCATTTTCCTTTTTCATTGATTTTTCTCGTTTAAAGAAAAAAATCAATTGTATATTACATATAGGTCTATAAGCTGTCTCAAGTTATTTTTCAATAGGGAAGGTAAATAAATTTTCCTTTGTGTTTTCTTTTTACTCGATCTCATTTGAATTTGGAAGCAATTTAAAGTAGTAATAGTAATCATTTTGTATCTTTAAGGTAAGAAGACAAGAGGTTTCTTCTCCTAGAAAAGAAACTTCAGCAAGGAGTCTTGGCAGTCCTTTGCTCCATGAAAGGTAGTTCTACATCCTTTTTTTGCCAACTCTTAAAAATTTTCAATACTGAAATATATTTTATATATATATTTTTAAGCATTAACAATTGCAAAAAAAATAGCCTTTTAGAATAAGTGGAAGTAACCATCCTCAGAGTCCTACATGTTAAAAATGACCTAAACAAGTCATGCAGTTAATAGCAGAGCTGGATCTAAAACTTGAATTCTCTAAAGCTCTACTATTTCAATAAACCAAGTGTTAAGGCCATATTTCTTTATATGGATGGATCCTAATGTGAACTTTACCAAAATGAGGAATATTTAATATTCTATTTAACATGTTTGCAGAGAACAAAAGTCAATGCATTGAAATTTCTAATGTGAGAATAAGACAGCCAGCATTAGTGTATATATGAATAAGTAGATATGCTAGACTATACTATATTTATGTATTAAAACTTAATTTATCACTTACTTTGTGCCTGGCCCTCTACAAACACAAGCTGGTTTTTGGGATATTGTCTAGGAATTAAAAATTTTTTTTTAACTTTTAAATATTTTGTGGCACATAAAATGGTACTACATAAGTTTGATTATTTAAAAAACTTGGAAATTATAGCTTTACATTTTAAAATGTTGATTTTTATTTTTTAGGGGTAGTATAGAGAAGACTTTCTGGGATCTGAAAGAGGAATTTCATAGAATATGCATGCTAGCAAAAGCACAGAAAGACCACTTAAGCAAACTTAATATACCAGACACTGCAACTGGTAAGATTTAATTTAATTTACAGTAATATTGATTTGATTGATTGAAATTGATTTCTTTTTGAATGTGAAAATATTCCTGAATGCCTATTAATTGTGTAGCATCTGTAATTTACCCCTCACCCACATATATTTGAATGTGTACATGCTGTGTAAGTTCTGTAGTGTATTACATATGTATTTGTTGGGTTTTTTTTCTTTGTTGTATATGGTACTATATAGATTGAATTGAAAGACATAATTACTAATTATCTTAATGAGAAATCCCACCTTAAAAAATACAAAATAAATATTGACTATATCCCTGAAAGTTTTCAGTTGTTGTTTGGGGGACTTATTAAACATTAACTCTTATGTGAATAAGCGACCTTGAAGCCATACTACCATATTATATGAGCTAAGTAAAATTATAACATCAGGTTTGTTTGTAACTTCTGCCTGAAAGTTCATTACATACACTATGGATAGATGTTTTTTTCCTGTTTCTTTTTTTCTTTTTTTTAATTAAACACAGGATCTTGCTATGTTGTCCAGACTGGAGTACAGTGGCTATTCACAGGCATGATGGTGCACTACAGCCTTGAACTCCTGGGCTCAAGAATTCTTTGAACTCATTTGGTTCAAGAATAAAAATGTGACACTCAAATTTCCTGAGTGCTAGTCCTGTTTAATGCACAAAATATACATTTAGTATAAAATACAACTTAGAAGGAACGTTTGTTTTACACATGTGTTATAGTATGTTTTATAAATGCTCCACCCTTTCCTAAAACCCCAGACTGGCTTCCTGGTATTTGCTTCAGTAGTTCTATATGAATAGCAAAATACAAGGGATTAGGTCTGGCAACCAAACACTTCTGCAAACAAAAGGAAGGTAAACTGATCATTTATAATGATAAATTCTCCTTTACCCTTGTGATTTGAGCTATTCTGCAGACAATTCCCAAGGGATGTGATTTACAGTTTTCACTCTGAGAGATGTAGTCTTGCTGACTAACACCCCTTTAATTAAAGATCACTTTCCATTTCTTGCAGCTCTTACATCTAGGCTATTTAAAATAATTTTATAGTGTAAATTCACTTTTTGCTACTACTACCATTTTATTTTCAGAAAAGTTACACAATGTGGTATTACAGAAGCAAAACAATCTTTGTAGATATAATTTGGTTCTTTCTCTCCCTTCTCTCACCTGCCCAAAAACAACTCTTTTCTTCACCTGAATTTTTGTCATTTTCATGAGAAATTGATCTTTTGTATGGACTAAAGTCACTAGGTACCTCTGAAGTAAATGAATTATTTCTGTTTAAAATATGCTAGCTATGGAGATGTAGTACCTAGAATTCATAAACATGCTTTTTTGAACATCAACATCTTTTCAAGGCATTGTAATGGTGATATATTCTTTGTTACACAGAAAACTTACCTCATTATCAGTGGCTTAATACTTTGACCATTTTTAAATTGCACAGGTCTAAATCTGAGTATGTATCTGTCAACTAGAACACTGAGTGTTTAACTTCAATTTCTTCTCCACTAAAACTGCTTCCTGATGCTTTATTTTTATGCTTTATATTAACAGTGTCACAAATAATAAATATATTATTCTCAAAATATTTTGTGCTACAGACTCTAGTGAAGTTTTGCTGGGGTCCAAAGAGAAACCAAAATAAATATTATGCTCTGACAGTAGTATATCAAAAGGAGAAAGGAAAAAATATTTTTTGAAAAGATGCCTATTCATGGTTTCCAAGTATGTATGCTATACTGTATAAAAATATAGAAGAACTATTTCAAATATGATTTGCATAATATATCTAGGAAAAGGTATGTGTATTGTCCCTGTGTTATTCTGTATTAAAGTTTGATGTTTGCTTTTAAATAACCAGATGATTCATTTGAAAATACTGAGTTAGTAGAATTTTTACATTTCCTTTTTATTATTACTTTGTTTTTTCTACTCATCTACATATGGCAATAGACTTGAGAAATGATAAACATAAAATGTATGTTTATCCATAGCTTCAAATAAAGTACTGTTTGGTTCGTAAAGGAGTGTCCAATTTCAGTAGAGATTAGGAAAGAAGAATATAGGATTAAGGGCAATAAACATCCATGAGAAGGGTGACAAACAACCATGAGGTCTTTTTCTTTTGTCAATATACAAAATAATTATACTGAGAAGTAACTAAATGGATAGCCTATATTTAAAATTTGGAAATCTAAAAATGTTTCCCATTTTACTTTTTCCTTGCAAAACTAAGTATTCTTAAAATAGACAAAATAGAAAAGCTATTTGCTCACCTGATCATGTTTCTCAATATGGTGTCAGGATGACAAGTGCTTTCATGCATCTCATTTGAGTTTTAAGTTGTCTCAGCTTAGATTTCTAGTAGCATTAGAAATCTAAGGTTTAAATTTTTTTAATAGATATAACTCTCACTGCTTGAGCAGATTAACTCAGATTATTTTAATGTGGCTGAGTTTATGCCAGCTAGCTTTGCAGAAAGAAAATATCTGTTTTTTTAGAGCTGTTTGATTTCTCCACGTTTTGTTCACAGCCGGGATAGATCAACTGCTGGAAAAATAATTCAAAGCACATTTCTGTCAATTTGGGGACTTCTCTCTATATCTAGAAACCAACATGTTCAATTTAGCATAATGGTTCAGAGCACAAATCTAGAGTTAGGTCGCCTGGGTTCCAGTGGCAGATCTGCCACTTACTATTATAGTTGTGTGGCCTTTGAGTTAACCTCTCCAACCAGTTGCTTCACATGTAAAGTGGGGATAATAATAGTGCCTACCTCAGGATTACTTTAAGTATTATATGAATTAATGTACATACAATTATTATAATATTGCTTGCCATGTGGAAGTGCTATTAATGTTAATAGTCATTGCCATTAGCAGCAGCAGCAGATTCTTCAGCATTCACCTTGTTCTCCTTGTGAAGATCATTTGATAAGTCTCTCCTCTTCGGGTGTTACAGAATCTGATTACCTCAACAGTTGATTTTCCTGATTTGTTATTTGCAAGTAGCAAATGTCATCTACAAAGACAGTACTGTTTCCTTGACTTTCCTGCCACTTTCAAGTCTACTGCCAGGAAGAATGACTACTCGAGAGTTAATGGACTTTAAGAACCTCAGAGGCTAAAGAAATCCAGCTAAACAATTAAGCTTGGTCACAATTACTATAGCACTTCTAGTCACAGAATATCTGGTAAATGTTGATTATTATAGTAGGCTCTGTAAGGGAGAGATTACAGATTCATTCAGAATTCGTTTGTTAGGGGCATACTACGTGCCAGACACTGGGCAGGGGTCTGGAGTTAGAGGGAAACAAAACATAGTTTAAGACCTCAAAAAACCTACTTTAATGGGAGAAAGAGAGTTATACTTGGAAATACAGTCATGTGCCAAATGACATTTTCAGTCAACAACAGATTGCTTGTACAATCATGGTCCCATATGATTATAATGGGGCTTAAAAGTTCATATCAGCCCAGGCACAGTGGCTCACGCCTATAATCCCAGCACTTTGGGAGGCTGAGCTGGGCAGATCACCTGAGGTTGGGAGTTCGAGACCAGCCTGACCAACATGGAGAAACCCCGTCTCTACTGAAAATATAAAATTAGCCGGGCATGGTGACTCATGTCCGTAATCCCAGTTACTCTGGAGGCTGAGGCAAGAGAATCACTTGAACCTGGGAGGTGGAGGTTGCAGTGAGCCGAGATCGCGCCATTGCACTCCATCCAGCCTGGGCAACAAGAGCAAAGCTCCGTCTCAAAACAAAACAAAACAAAAGTTCATATCACCCTAGTGCCATTGTAGGTAGCTGTTGTTACATTGTATCACACCTTTTTTTTTTGTAAATTTAGTGTAACCACAGTGTATAGTGTTCATAAAGTCTACAGTGATGTACAGTAATACTAGGCCTTCACATTCACTCACCATTCACTCACTGACTCAGAGCAACCTCTAGTCCTGCAAATTCCATTCATGGTAAGTGCTCTATATAGGCGTACCCATTTTTTATCTTTTATGCCGTATTTTTACTGTACCTTTTCAGTGTTGAAATACACAGATACCATTGTGTTACCTATAGTATTCAGTACAGTAACATGTTGTATAGGTTCGTAGCCTAAGAACAATAGGCTATACCGTATAGTGTAGGTGTGTAGTAGACTATACTGTCTAGGTTTCTGTAAGTACACTCTGTGATGTTTGCACAATGACAAAATTGCCTCAGAATACATTTCTCAAAACGTGCCACCGTTAAGCGATGCATAACTATATAACAGAGTGTTTCAGTCCTCAGGGCATCCAAGAGTCATGGGAGAGTCATCCAGAGAAACTTATGTCCGAGCCAAGATGTGAAGGACAAATAAGAGTTGGGCAAAGAGTGATGGGAGGGGACACTTCAGGCAGTCTGCACAGCATGCGCAAAGGTGCAAAGACAAGAGAGTGTGGCTATTTTGGGGAACTATACAAAGTTCATTATAGCCAGAGTATGGAGTGAAAGATGAGCATGGAGAGGTGACCAGGGGCCAGTAATGAACAGTCAATAAGCCTTTTCTGAGATCTGAGGGCCTTGTAGAGCCGTCAAAAGATTTTATTAGGAAGGTAACGTGGTCAGATTAGTATTTTAGAAAAACTACTCTGAGAACAAGGGATGGAGGGGAAGTTGCAATGAAGACAACAGATTGGATATGAGACAAATTTAGAGGCAAGGAAGCAGTTTAAAGGCTGTTATAATAATCCAGTAAGAAAGGATGGTATGAAGAGAGGTATAAAGAGAGGCAGTAGGTATACAACAAGATGAACCAGAGAAGTTGGTTGCATTATACTACACATATCCAAACAGAAAAAAATATATTACATTGGAATGTGCTTTGGCAAAAGACAGAGAAGTGTCATGAGACTGCCAAGACCAAAGGAATATAAAGGAACTGACGTTTGTTAAGTGCCTACTAACCTGTACAGACACTTTGTATACCTTGTGTTCTGTATACCCTGTCTACCTAAATTTGCATCATTGGTAATGTCTCCATTTGTGAATGTTCAACAGTGCCAATGACAATCCTTAAAATACATGCATTACCAACTTCAGTGCCTTCTTTAAGGGACATTGTGGAGTTTAATTTGGCTTTTTCTAGTGTCTCAGAATCATCAAGATGGAGAGTACTTTGATTATTGTTTTTTTGTATTGAGCACTCATTAGCCCTGTATTAGACTCTAGTGTTTTCTAAGTTCTTGTATCAGCCTTTTTGTCTTTCCTGTCTTTTCCTATGCTTTTAGTTCCTGTTGATATCTATGTCTGCCTTTAGCAACTCATATTCCCTTTTAATTTTTTGTTTCAAACCAGCTATGAGCTAGGGAAATACCATCAGGTTTGTTAGAATAAATCTAAAATGACAATAAGAACAAAATTCACGTATCTGTGAACCTTGTGGCTCTAATTCTGGCTCCTCAGAAGCTCTACTTTCCTTCTAGCTTTTGACTGTGTCCTAGAAAGCTGAATTTGTTGGATAAGTGGCTCTAGATAAATGAGCTACAGAGGCTATTTCATCTACCAGATATTTACCTGTTATTTACAGAGGTCTTTTTTAAAAAAAGATATAAGATGAGAAAATAATCTATTCATCCACAGTTTTCTTAACATGCATCACAATGTTTCATCCTTCCTTTGCCTTCACTGTCTTCCTTTTCCCAACCACCAGTCTTCCTGCAACCACCAGTCTTCACATGGATTATTGACAGCAGACAGTGGCTAAACTGATTAGTGATATACTTAGTTAGACAGTGACAATAATAAATGACCTAATTTTAGATATACTTAGTAAGATTTTCCCTTTTAACAACTTATTTGTCTAAGCAAACACAGTTATAGCTTCCGTTACTGACAAAAATGTTTAAATGTATACACTACAAGCAAATGTTTTTAAGCTTGGAGCAGTGTAACTGAACAAGATGCAAAGCTTACAGCAAAAGACCTAGGAAAAGACAAAGTAGTTAAATTGCAACTAATAAGCTGTGTTTCAGTTCACCCGCTGGAGACTGCTAATATTCTGTGTAAGATGGTAGCAAATTTTAAAATCCCAGTTGTCTTCATTTGCTATAAAAACCAATAGAAAAAATAATAATCTGTCCAAAGCTGATTGAACAGATTTTTTTTTAATGATTTGAATGTGACTGTTTCTCTTTTGTGTTCTTCTCCCTGCAGAGACACAGTGCTCTGTGCCTATACAGTGTACGGATAAAACAGATAAACAAGAGGCGCTGTTTAAGCCTCAGGCTAAAGATGATATAAATAGAGGTGCACCATCCATCACATGTGTCACACCAAGAGGACTGTGCAGAGATGAGGAAGACACCTCTTTTGAATCACTTTCTAAATTCAATGTCAAGTTTCCACCTATGGACAATGACTCGACTTTCTTACATAGCACTCCAGAGAGACCCGGCATCCTTAGTCCTGCCACGTCTGAGGCAATGTGCCAAGAGAAATTTAATACGGAGTTCAGAGACAACCCAGGGAACTTTGTTAAAACAGAAGAAACTTTATTTGAAATTCAGGGAATTGACCCCATAGCTTCAGCTATACAAAACCTTAAAACAACTGACAAAACAAAGCCCTCAAATCTTGTAAACACTTGTATCAGGACAACTCTGGATAGAGCTGCGTGTTTGCCACCTGGAGACCATAATGCATTATATGTAAATACCTTCCCACTTCTGGACCCATCTGATGCACCTTTTCCCTCACTTGATTCCCCGGGAAAAGCTATCCGAGGACCACAGCAGGTAACTGTTTTGCGTTAACAAATATATTATTATGTGTGAACACACATTTTGCCATACATGCACAGATATGCATCTCTTTTACGTTATCAGACATCCTTTTTAAACTACTGTCTAGCCAAAGTTAGGGGTTTCAGAAAAACAAGTCCTATAATAAATGACATGAAATTAGAAAAGCTGAATATGGTAAAACTATTGTAAAGTACCTTAGAATTTATGTCATTTAAAAATTCATGTTAAGCCTTATCCATATCTATTGTGGTGTCACTTTCTTAGTTCCTTATTCAAAGCTTGTTTACTCAGGATTAATAAGATTATTAAATTTCATAGTGTGAAACAAATGCTGTTTTATTTAATAGTTTGTATATATCATATTCATCTTTATAAGAATTCACGATCTTATGTAAATAATTGCATCTTACATTCCTATTTATCAACATAAGTGAACTATCTTTCAATGAATACTTCTACTATATCCTCAGTTATATAGTACATAGATCTGTAGGGTTTAGTTTTGGTTTTGGTTGCTAATCTGGAAATGAACATGTAGCCTAGTATATTTTTAAAATAGTCTCTGCATGTGTATGATATCAGATATGTTATTTAATGTTTCTAAATCTCACAGACTTATATCCCCCAAACCACTCCTGCCCTCCCTTTTAGATTCAAGTTCCATCACAGAATGATTCTTTTAGTTAAAAAAAAAAGTTTAATGTCTGAAAGCAAATGAAAACTATAAGATTTTTACAAAAAACAGAAGCTTATGAAAATAGATTGATGTAAATGTCTATGTAACTTGCAAACATTTGTCTGATTTCTCTTTGCCTTGAGATATTTTTTTTTTAAAAAGTTGTTAATACTCTTTTGCTTTAAGTACACTTATAGGTTATAGACTTAAATCAGCATGCAAAGAAGGCAGTTGTCAAGCTGTGGTATATTTTAGTAGTGGGAAAAACTAGGCATGGCTGACAATAAGTTTTAATTATAACCTCACTTAGGTTCTTGTTCATTACACTTTATTTCACATCATAGTCTCTGTTATAGTTGCTACTAAATGAAACAAATTAAACAATTTCATTTATTGCAAGTAGAATTCCTGTGGAGCTGTGAAGTACATCAGTTCTAATGCTTGTTACTTTTTTCTCTATTGTATGTCTTGCTTGTTCTTTTACTAGTCTGTGCATTCATGTTTCAGTAGATGGCACCCTGCATTGTACATTTGCTTTCTATACTACAGCAAGGGAAACAGCTGGTATGTGATTACAACTTGATGGAAAAGTATTCAGCTTAAAAAATTCAGGAGAATTAGTGTTGAGTTGTCACAAGACATGGGGCATAAGGTTAGATAATTGATATTTTGGCAGAAAAAGCAAAGAAATTAGTTTGTTTTGAAGACCATGTTACAGTTTAGGATGGAAAGAATATTTCTTAAAGTGGGTTTTTTAAAAAACATTTTAAGCTATTTTATTTGTATTAATAAAGCTAGTATTATACAAGCTAGTATAAGTACAAAATTCCTGAGTTGGGCCAGGTACGGTGGTTCATGCCTATAATCCCAGCACTTTGGGAGGCTGAGGCAGGAGGATTGAGGCTAGGAATTTGAGACCAGCCTGGGCAACATAGTGAGAACTTTTCTCTACAAATACGTATAGATATATAGATATTTGTAGCTGGTTGTGGTGGCATGCGCCTATTGTCTCCAGCTACTTGGGAAGCTGAGGTGGGAAGATTGCTTGAGCTAGGTAGTTCAAGGTTGCAGTGAGCTGTGATGGTGCCACCACACTTCAGCCTGGGTGACAGAGCAAGACCGTGTCTCAAAATAATAATAATAATAATAATTTTTTTTAATCCTGAGTTGTTTGTAGATAGTAACAAAGAGAAGTGAAATTTTTGGCTGCATATTTTAAAATTTTACTTTATATCAATCATTACTACTAAACATCTATTTTATATATTCAGCTATCATAACCAAGACTAAAGTGTATCAGATTATTATTGGTCTATGTGATTTTCTTTTTTACTTTGCTGAGTCAGTGAGTGGGATCCCAACTAAATTCTATGAAGAGATCAAATCTGAACTAAAAGTTCTTAATAGAGAAAAATGAATATGGACTTAATAGGTAAATTGGGAGCAGAAGATTGGCTTACCAAATTTAGAAGCTAAATTGCTTCTGATTTAATTTCTTGCTGTTTTATATAAATAAGGACTATCTTTAATAATCTTTTATTTCTGGCCATATCAATTTCCCATTACAGTGATTTGTACTTTTTTGTTTAAAACTGAAAACATTAAAATTAGAATCAAGTTTAACTAGATTTTTGCTTGTATGCTCACAGTTTTTACTACTTTTACCAAAGAAGTTTTTCCAAAGAAAGTTATTTTACCTTAAATTTTATAACATTTGTTTTAAATATTACTATTTTTGTAATAAAATTGACATTTCTTATGAAAGGAATTCAGTCAGCATTATTATAAGTCCTCCATACTGATATTTGAATGTATCTGGGTGCCTAGACAGACGTTGTATATTTACACCAATTGTACACAGCTGTCCAGTAAACTGTTTATAAGAAGACAGTGATGTCGTGAAACCCAAATGCTTCAATCAGTAATATACTGTTTATGTAAATGATTGGTTAACCAGAATGAAAGAAGTTAGGGGAAATAACAGTAACACTTGTCAGGTGCTAGACTAGGCTGTGTGACTTTAAAAACATATTAGTAATAGGAGGATAAGGGGTCTATTTAAATTTGACTTTATGAGGTGATTAAAATATCAGAATTTAGCTGTGTCAGAGTAATTTACCTGTGTCCACATAAGAAAGAAATTTTAAAAAATAATTTGTTTTACACAATTCAGGGAAATATTTTCCAGTTAACAAACATCTATTGTGTAGCTATTATTAAGCCAAATGCTATTTCTTGTCCTTCTAGAAGTTTAAAAAAAAAAAGAATAAATGCAGTTATGAAAGGGTATTTATGTGCTGGTTATAGTGGAGGTGATTCTATTAGTTTATGACTTGCCATAATTCTTTAACCAGACAACTATTGACAAGTTTCTCTTTATTCAGCCACAAGAATGAGTAAGGCCAAACTACCTATTATATAATAGAAGCAAAGTAAGAAGTCAAAACACTGCATGTGTTAGATTTTGTTGAATGATTAAGTATTTGCATTTTTAAAAACAAATAAAAGATAACTGATCAGTGAAATTTGTTCAGTAGTTTAAAAGGAAATTTTTCTTTTTAAAAATCAAAATAATGCTGATTCATGTATGATGTATTCACTGTATTTGCTTATAAACAATAGTGAAATTGATTTTGAGTAAGATGCAATGCACACACACATCATGTCTTGTGTACTGTGTAATTAATAAAGCCCCTATAAGTTAAGGGTTTTATTGTAAAAAAGAAAAGATAGAATTTAATTTAAAAGACCAGAGTATTAACTATTGTTCCAAAACTACTCCCGTTGTGATCATTGGGTATTAAAAATTGCATGCTAAAGCTGCAATCTTTTTAAATATGATAAAATGCATAAGTGTGTGTCCCAAGTGACTTTTAATCAAAGTTTAGTTGTCCCTTTTATGAAACCAAGAATTGAGTGATGTCCTCATGCTAACTTCATGGAAAAGTAATTTGCTTTTATATTAGGGAATTAAATATATATGCTCATACATAACTCATTCAAAAATTCAAATTTGAAGTCCAGTGCTATTTGAATTTAAACATAAGTAACAGAGATATTTTTGTTTGTTTCCTGCAGCCCATTTGGAAGCCCTTTCCTAATCAAGACAGTGACTCGGTGGTACTAAGTGGCACAGACTCAGAACTGCATATACCTCGAGTATGTGAATTCTGTCAAGCAGTTTTCCCACCATCCATTACATCCAGAGGGGATTTCCTTCGGCATCTTAATTCACACTTCAATGGAGAGACTTAAGACACATTTGAAAACAGACATACCAAGTTCTATGTGATGATTTGGGGTTTGTAATACTATAAATACTTGATTGTAAACTAAATTCAAGATCATTTATAGGAAAATCTAGTTTCACAGCTATTTGAATTGTTTTCTAGATTTACTGTATAACTCTTTCATTTTTTTAAAAGATCATTCTATTCTTTCAAGGAGAAATAAGCCTAAAAGAAGAAAAACAAAAAAAAAAATCTGCATAAAACTGTAATCCTTTGTATTCATGTTTACAGTACTATTACTATAATTCAAAATTACATATGTGACTTAGTTATATAATCATAATTTATGTTTATTTCAAATATCTAAGTTTATTGCTTGGATTTCTAGTGAGAGCTGTTGAATTTGGTGATGTCAAATGTTTCTAGGGTTTTCTTAGTTTGTTTTTATTGAAAAATTTATTTATGTGATAGGTGATATTCTTTGAATAAACCTATAATAGAAGATAGCAGACAACATAAACATCTTTGTAAATATCAAACCTAATACATTTCTACCAGTGATAAAACAACTGGTAGAATTATTTAAACACTTAAGATTTTTTAAATAATATACATGCCTTTAATTTTACTATGTGTATAGCTACATGATGAAATTAAATATTAAGAGGTACTTATGTTGTGATCAGTAGTGTGTCCTTTGTTCTTGATATAAAAAAAAAAAAAGGAAGGAATCACATTTTTAGGGAAGTTTATAAAATTCTTGTTTTCCTTTCAGTAACCTAGTAGAAAGGTGATGACCAGATTTGGTGGCATTTATTAACAATTAGTGAATCACTTTGAATTTTAGAATTATTTTTCAAACTAAACTTTCTAAAGAAACATTTGTTTTTAATGGGAGCAAATCTAAAACCCTACAAGGACTATCCATATTTGTTAACTTAGATTAGAAATGTTCATATTCTTGTTGAGAAATTTGTTATTCATTATTAGCAGCCTGATTGATAGCCACTGAAAGACATTTGAGAGAGTGGATACCAAATTCAGAAGGCTGCAAAATTTGTTTAAAATGAGACTTCCCTTTCATTTTTATTCCCTATGATTCTCGCCTTTTAGGTTTCTCTTTTCCCCTGATTCTTAAAAGTGTTTAAGGCATGGCTTCCATTTTATGAAGTAAGCATTGATTTGCAACCCTCAAAAATTTAAGCCTTCTTGAAGCAAGTGCTTTAAACTGGAGGGTGTGGGGTGGAGGAATTTGAGCAGACCTCTGTGCCACAGTGAAGAACCTTAACTTGTGGAAGAATGAGAGTGGTGCCTCGACTTCTCCCGGTGCCAAGCACATCATATTGACATCTTCCTCAGCAAGGTGACAGCAATTATTAGGTATTCACTGCGACGGGTTCTGAGGCATGTACATCTTTCTTTCATTGCCACTAGGGCTGAATGGAAATGCCTAGACAATTATCCAAGTTTCTTCCCTTCCCCCACCTCCCGCCCACCCAGCCTCCCCTCTCACTCCACACACACGTACACACGCACACGCACACAAAATTAAAAATAAAAACTTCCCAGCGCGTACCAGCCAGAATATACCACTGTACCTATCTCGTGAAAGGGGATTCTTTTTTTCCCCTGTCCTTTTCTAGATGGGAGGACTTCCTCTCAACACAGTTGACATCTACTAAGTGCTTGCTGACAACCACAGGAAAGTCTATGGCCCAGAAAGTGACTCAGAGTGTACTACTGACCTTCCTCCCCAGCCCATCCTTTCCCCGCCCCCACCACTTTTAGCAGGACTAGCAAACTCAGTTTTCTTTTGGGTTCCAGCGGCACCCTAAGCTCCACGTTGTGAGGGACAGAGACCCTTTGGGGCCACAGGAGAGGCGGCCTGGAGAGCAGCCCCCGCCCTGCTCTACATAGGGAGCGCGGGCCACCGCTCTAAAGGTGGAGTGGGCACCCGCCAGGTCTCTCCCTCTGTTTCATGACTGAGTCGTGCAGGGGCTGCTGGCTTTTGGCATCTGCTAAGCGTGGCCGGGTAAGAACAGCTCCCAGGTAAAAAAGCTGCACACGCGAAACGCCGAGTCTGAAAAAACCACCCCCGCCGAGGCGAGGCAGTTGTGAGCGGGATGCCTGAGAAGTGGGAGGTGAATGTCCTCGGGAGGGCCCCCCCGGTGCAGCTTTCCCCGGAGGCTGAGGCTGCTGCCAGCGGGGACATCTGCTTTCTTACACTCCAGCCTGGCTCACCCCGCCCCCTCAGCCCCGGGTTGCGTGGTTATTTTACCAACACGGAGGGAGGGAGAGCTCGAGGAGGTAGAAAAGGGGTGGATGGAAGCTTATAAGATTTTCTTCCCACTCCTCGTCCCCTCCTTTCTTCACATCTTTTAACCTTCAAGGTAAAGAGTTTAGGAAACAATAAGCGTGTCCGCCGGCTCGCAGACCCGCCTTTGGCTCGCCGACCCGCCTTTGGCTCGCCGGGGCTCTCCGGCGCCGGGCCTTGCCCCTCTCCATCCTCCCCAACTCGGGCCGCGCTTCGGCGGTTCGGCTGGGCGCAGGGGCCGGCCGGGTGCGCCCAGCCTGTGGCGCCTCCTCTCCCCGGCTGCTGCCTCGACAGCTGCTTGTAGCTACAGTAATTAGACTGTCAGTGCTTGTTAGAAGAGAGAGGGGAAAACACGCTTCTGACAGCAGATTCCAAGACTCCCCAGTTTGTTAATTTCTAAGAGATCTTTAAAGCATTAATTGAGGTCTCCCCAACTCTCCCCTCCCGTCCCTTTCCGCAACTCCTCCCTTCCCAAAAATATCTTTAGGAGAAGCGAGTTCTCTCGGCGTGGAAGCAGTGTTTCCCGCAAAACTGCCAGCCCGCCCCCCGCTCACGCACAGACACCCAATTTCCCATATACAGATAAATGCACACATGTATACGCGGAAGGTTAACTCGGCGGAGGACTCGCCCAAATAGGCACCGGGATTGCATTTAAAATAATAATAAATAAATAAATAAATAAACTAGGAAGGAAAGCGGGGGGAGGGAAGCAGAAGTCGGGAAGAAAAGAGAAAAGCAGCAGGCTGATTACGAGGTGTCAAAACTGCCAGGAGCAAGAAGGTGATAGCAATCAGGGGTGAGAAGAGTGCGGCATTCGTGCGGGGCAACTAATTATCCGTCTCATTTGAGAAGAGCAGCATTTGAGGCAGCAGCGTTCGCCTGCTGAACGGTGACAGATTGGCGCGGAGGAGAGGGGAGGTGTTAAAACAATGGAGCCGGGCGCGCGAGCGCTGCTGCATGCTAATCAGCCCTCCCTCCGCCTGCCTGCCGCGCTCCCTCCTTCCTCCCGGCCTCCCTCCTCCGCGCTCCCTCCTCCCGCCTGCGGCGCTCCCGCCTTTCCAGCGGGCCCCGCGCCGCCGCCGCCACCCGCTTCCTGCTCCCTCGCTTTCCCGCGCGTCCTTCCCGCCGCTGGCGAGTGGAACACAGCCACCGCTAGTGAGTCCCTAGCGGGCCGGGAGCCCCCGCGCGGCCCTCCGAGCCGGCCTGGCGGAGCGCAGCCCCGCGCGGGTTCGCCCGAGGGCTCGGTCGGCGCCGCGCGCCCGCTCCCCGGGGCGGTGGGGCGAGGACCCGCCATTCAGGATCCACGTCTTGGGGAACAGGCCGAAGAGCCCCGTTCTCACGCCCACTCGCTTTCTGGTGAATATAACGCGTCGGCCAGCGAGTGCGAGTGGGAGTCCAGGCGAATTCAGAAAGGGCTAGGGACAGCCAAGGCTGGAAAGAGTGGCAGGGCCACAAAGGCCAAGAAGGGTTCCAGGACTGACCGCAGATCCCCTGCCCTGCCCCGCCCCAGCGAGGCCGCCACCCCGAGGCCTCCAGGCGCCCCCAACCCGCCCTGCAGCGGCCGCGCCCCGCTGGCCTGCGGCGAGTCGGCGAGGTCAGCACCCCCCTGCAACGCTTCCCGCGCTGCGGCCCTTAGACCCCTGAAGCCCCTCTTTCAGTAGAGCGACCGGTTCACGGTTTAAATGATCGCTGCGAAGACACATAAAGGGCCTTAACATTAGCTGTGCTTCCAAGGCCTGACCTCCTGACCCCAAGACTTTACTAAGGGGCCGTCTGCGCCTCGAGAGTTCCCTCGAAAGGCCGTGGCGGGGACAGAAGGTCCTGGAAAGAAGCGGGCCGCGCTCCCCACTGCTGCGGAGACTGCGGGGTAGATGGGGGCAGGAGCAGATCCAGAGGCCCAGCTCCCCGCCTGGCCGCTCTGTTCTATACTCTGGCCTGAGAGAAGCTGGTCAAAAACAGCAGTGCCCTGGCCGCCCCTCCGACAAAGAGTCCATCGGAACCCGAGTCTGCTGAAAGAAGCCTTTGGTACCTGTTGATGCAGGCGGGGACCTGAGATTTGATACAACCTCCCGTTACTTTGTGGCCGTAAAAGCTGATTGTTGCGCTTAAAGGACACTTTTATTCCTACCATTAAAATATTTTTACTGTAACGGTTTACATAAACTATCCTTATAAACATCATAAAACTTCCTTCCCCGTAAGCCGTGGATGGACCGCCAGAGTAACCAAATACCTGTGCAGTGTAATTGTTTCTTCTACTGACCCTTACCTTTGCATAACTTTACACACCATTATTCCTTTTTAAAAAATCAATTTAAAATAAGGTTTGCTAAAGCTCAGTCATATATACACAAAGGTTTCATTTATATTATTCTGCTTTGTGATATGATAAAAGTACACAAAAATGAAATTAAAATGAGTAAATTTTGGTATTTTTATACCATCCTCATTGATTCTAGTCATGTGAAAAACTATACAAGTGCACAGAATGAATCATTTTTCCTTTTAGAATATGCCCAGGCATACCAATAGAGTAGCTGAATGCAAACTTCAGATCTACTAAAATCATACAAAATGTTTTAAAGTTTTTAAGTTGAAAAATCTTAGAAGAGTTACATAAAGGATTTTGTGTAAGTAAATGTTAATGCTTTCTGCTTTCCACTCTTCGGAAAACTACTAAGAAGGCCTCTGCCCTTGGCGTATTACAGACTTTCCGGTGCTACAGTATTAGCTGGCATTTGGAAAATTCCCTTGTGTCTGAATCTGTTAAAATAGCAACCTATCTAACAGCAAAACAAATTTTAACTTTATTCATATAAACTTGGAGACTCAGATGTTCCATCAGCATCAAAATTAAGCAATTTATTAACTATTCACCAGCCTTTGCTTCATTAACCAATTCTATAGAAGTAATGTCTCTCTAAAGCTGTGAATCTATAGAGCTCAAATAAATGTAGTTCAATTCCGTGTTGTTATGTATCTCACCAAATTATTTATTTTCCAATAACTTGGTTTTTATAGGCTTAGTGTAATTTCCTCTCAATCTACAGACCTCACAAATTTGCATGACTGTTTTAACGGTGTATTTACAGATAAGTTTTTATTTGCACATAAGGACAAAAAGGTGAAGTGAAATTTGGTCCCAATGGAAACCTGTTAGGTTCCCTGAACATATGGCTCATTGGGCTGTTACTTCCTTTTTGAGATCATTTTCCAAGATTTTTTAATATATACATCAATTTGACACCAGTTATAAAGAAAATATATTGGCTTTGAAGATTCCTCCACCTGGGGCATATCTCTTAATAACACACCATGTAGTCAGGTGTACCTCTGAATGTACAGGTTTCCAGTCTC